GCTGGTCCTTTGCTGGTTTAAGCTGGTCCTTTGCTGGTTTAAGCTGGTCCTTTGCTGGTTTAAGCTGGTCCTTTGCTGGTTTATGCTGATCCTTTGCTGGTTTAAGCTGGTCCTTTGCTGGTTTATGCTGGTCCTTTGCTGGTTTATGCTGATCATGTGCTGGTCTTAAGCTGGTCGGACCTGTTTAGGACCAGCACATGACCAGCTAAGGACCAGCTTAAACCAGCGAAGGACCAGCATAAACCAGCAAAGGACCAGCATAAACCAGCAAAGGACCAGCTTAAACCAGCGAAGGACCAGCATAAACCAGCAAAGGACCAGCATAAACCAGCAAAGGACCAGCTTAAACCAGCTCAAACCAGCATCCCAGCTTCAAAACATACCTAACCAGCATATGCTGTTTTTTTCAACAGGGACAGTGAGTGTGACAGGTATGAAAGTGTAACATGCTTGTACGCGAAGTAAAAAGAAACCTATATTACCTCATAATCAGGCCTGACTTGGTCAAGCTGTGCTATGATTGTTTTTAAGTCAATATATACTGATTGTAAAAATAATACTTAAAGCTGCAGTCCGTAACTTTTTGTGTTCAAAATTAACAAAATTTATATAAAGTTACAAATCCTCCCGATGCACATGCATCGATTTTGAAACATTGCATTTGAATCGTGAATGGTTTGTTTGGTGAAGATTTAAAATTCAATCATTTCAAATACAGGATGGTCAATAGCACATCAATAGTCTTGAATCAAAGATGTGCAAACCATTGATAAAGCTGCCAACATATTTTGTGCATGGCCACTACTACTGAAATACAACTCTTCTGTTTTCTATAAGATAAAATACTGCTGTTATACTAGTATCATTGTTTATTTGGTAAGCAGAAAATGTTTAGGTGATCTTAGGATATCGCTGGGATATTAGGATTTTTTTTTCTTTATTTGCATTTGAGAACTTAAAGCTGCAGTCCGTAACTTTTTTTTGTGTTCAAAATTTACAAAATTTATATTATAAAAGAGTACACCATGAATCCATTTTCCAAACCATGTTTCTGGCTTGTCTTGAATCACTACGGTACACCTATAATAAGTGTTTATATTCGGATTATTTTAGACTGGTTCGGGTAGGTACCGCTGCAGAGTACCTGCGTGATTCGTCATAGACATAAACAGACAGAAGTAGCTCTGGCTACAATGTTCTTCCGCAAGACGCATGCAGTTCTGTTCATTAACCGCTAGAGCGCCAAAAGTTACGGACTGCAGCTGATATTTTGACTCGGCAAGACACTCAAATATACAGTAAAGAATTTTATATATAAAAACACTACAGACACAAGCTCACCGCACAATTCGAGCACATTTGCGTGGCATATAATGTAATACAATACTAATATATTTTATGCCGTGTGTAGATAGAGGCTATAACCATCAGAGAAGAAACCCAGAAACCACGTTACACAAACAAACGTACCTGGAATAATCAGACACACCTGGATACTGTACACACCTGGATTAATACAGTTTATATCTGTTCATTAACCGCTAGAGCGCCAAAAGTTACGGACTGCAGCTCATATTTTGACTCGGCAAGACACTCAAATATACAGTAAAGAATTTTATATATAAAAACACTACAGACACAAGCTCACCGCCCAATTCGAGCACATTTGCGTGGCATATAATGTAATACAATACTAATATATTTTATGCCGTGTGTAGATAGAGGCTATAACCATCAGAGAAGAAACCCAGAAACCACGTTACACAAACAAACGTACCTGGAATAATCAGACACACCTGGATACTGTACACACCTGGATTAATACAGTTTATAAAGCAGAAACGTATTACTCTGATGCACCTCAGCGGTATTTGGCTGTATATTCCTGACTATAAAGCGAACAGGGGTCTGGGGGATCGGACACATAGAAACAAAGCACGTTTCAGACATTCACACACGTCTTTGTGTACGGATATCTGTAGTGTTGGTCACATGAGGCCGCCGCAGCAGTTGGACTTCTGTTGCTGTGACTCGATGTAATCATGGATCTTGAACTTGGGCTCGTGGGGCTGCTGGATGTTTCTGTGCTTGAGTTCTCTGTGTGGAAATGAAGGAGAAAACATATTAATCAGTTTCAGTGTAATAACTAGAAATAAAAAAGTTTCAAGGCAAGCTTTGAATGCCGGTTTGACAAAGGCTTGAAAAACCTTGAAGCACTTACATTTGAATAAACTTGTGAAAACGAAGTGTGCTTAATTGTATTGAATGTGCACTTGTAGTGTACTTGAGATGTTAAAAGTATATATATATATATTTAAAACTACTCGCAGACAAAATAATTAATGAAATTAAAGGGCACTTTTTATTTAAAGAGAGTGTATTTAAAGTGAGACACTTTCATGACTGTTTCTTAACACACTTTATTACAAAGTGCAGTTTTTAAAAGTGTCCTTATGTCAACACTCTAAAAAATGCTGGGTTAAAAAGGGACAAACCCAGCTTGTCAAAACAACCCAATAGCTGGGTCAAAACAACCCAATAGCTGGGTTTGTCCCTTTTTAACCCAGCATTTTTTAGAGTGAAAATAAATAATTTTTAATAGTCTTTTGTCATGCTTTAATTTAATGCAATGTATAGCGTGTTATTCAAAATAACATTTAAAGTTAATACATTTTAAATGTACTAAAGTGCAACTACAAATGTGTAATTACAAACATATTTCAATAAATGACATGCAGGTTTCAATAGAAATTGCATTAAATTCTATTTGAGTTTACCATGAATGCTTGTCAGTACATTTGGCAATGCACTTTAACCATATTTTACAGACAATAGAAGTATTTTTTATATTTTATATGTAATAATTACATATAATGATGTGATTATGTCCTACATAAGTGGGTCAAAAACACTCATAAGTTAATTTAATTGCATTTAATATAAATTTAAACTATAACACAACCATTTAATCATTTAATTACTATTATATTAATATCAAACTAATACGCAATTGTCTGAAAAAAAAACACATTTAGGTATATTTACATAAGTACTCTTTAATAAAAAGTATGTTAACACGCAGTCTTTTGCATTAGTATTACAAAGTTGTTGCTAAATTGTCCTGAGTGGTTGTTGGCAAACTATAGGGTGAAAAAAATTGAAATTTTACAAATAATTAATACCAAGAAATGGCAAGTAACACATTGAATTAAAAATTAAGTTTAAATTTTGACGTATAAAAACTGAAAGAGCATTTTCTTGTCAAATGTACTCTAATAATCAGTTTTATTTACAACTTCAAAATATAATTTTACACAGTGTATGTGGTTGCTAATTTGTTTTTGTTGGTTGCCAGGGCATGTCTAGGCAGTTACTAGGGTACTCGGACTAAGCAGTCGCTTACTTGTCAAGAGACCCTAGTGATTATTAAAAAATAAATAAATAACTAAAAGGAGTCTCATGCTGATGTTTAATACTTGTTTCAATCGGCATACAAGCAATAGTAACAGTGACAATTGTTTCAAATTCACTTAATGTTTATATTATATATATATATAGAAAACCTCAAACCTTGCTATGGCATGGAAAGCGAGTTCCACATTGACACCAGTCTTGGCACTTGTCTCCATGAAAGGGACTCCATATTCCTTCAATAAAGAAAAAAGCAGAGCACTGCAGTTAAACAAACTGCGATGTTTACTGATCATTTGTAATAGCAGTTAAATGGACATGTTACATTCATGTACGCTCATACCTTAGCCAGCTTCTCCCCTTCTTCATGTGTGATCACCCTCTCAGCAGCCATGTCTGACTGTACAAACACAATTTCATATTCATATTAAATAGTAATGTTTTGTGTTCTTGAAAGACATTTTCTTAATAAAGTGAAACTACCCTCAAATACAGTACGTCATTGTTGTCCTTACAGAGTTTTACACAAATTAACCAAGAAGAGTGAGAATAGTTTTAAGCAGCTGTTAGGATTTTATGAAACATTCTGGGTTAACCCTGTGAAGCCTGACGTACGACATGATAGTCTGAAAAATCTAATTTTTTTGAAATGGAACAATTTATTCAGTATTTAGAGAAAAGTTTGCATATGTGTTTCATCATGTTTGATACATTTTATGGCTCATATAGAATGATATAGGAGAATATGGTGATCAAACTGAAGGAGGAAAAACAGATCTAATTTCATTTAGAGGCCCAAATTGAGCAAAAGTATGCAATTTGCTGCACCAAGAAATTCTGACAGCTTGTAATGTACGTCAATGAGATCTTTCTAACTTGGAGTGCTGGCCTAGTTTACTTTCACTGTAAATGCATTACTGTAAACACTCAGGGAAGAGCTGAAATGTTTCTCTGTGGTAACTGCATAATGACACAAAAGCTCATCCCAATAAAGCCTACTGCATCATATTTGATATGCAAATATCTAAGGGCTCTAAATGAACAACATCCTGAAAAACCTGTTGCACACAATCTACTACATGCTTTCCGTCATCTGATATTTGATAGTTTATACACTTTTTTTTTTAGCAAAGTAAAAGGCCTTTTAGTACTATTGTACATATGTCCTGCTTTAGATACATGTGTCCTCATGCTGTGAAATCTTCACTGACTGATCTTTACTGACATAAGCATAAATGTTAGAATAAATACAGAGTTCTGGCATGAAACTCTAGATGGTGCAGTCCGATAGGTCTAGCTCAATCTGACCTGGCGACATCATTGTCACATGGCAGCTGATTGGTTCTCTCCTGTATCGGTAGCCAATGAGCTTACTGCTCAATATTCAAATACCTGGCTTTTGTTTGCTGTAGCAGTTAGCAGCGCACTTCAGAAACCCTCCACCTTCCCCAGCTCCACCTGTGTAGATCTGCTACGAGGTGATTTATGTATGCTATATGGGGGTTATTTCATGCATGTTATATTTGCAGCAGCAGTATTTCTTACATGCTCACAGCTTATTTCTCATATGTCAGGCTTTACAGGGTTCAGCATTCAGTTACATATTCCCTTCCTCTTAGTCATTTTTCATCCTTCTGTCTCTCTACTAACAGTGATTTTTGCTTGAGGGACGAGTCAAAATGTTCTGTGTAACAGCCTGTACTGAACCCAGGAACTTTCCTTTAATATCAGACAAGGCTTTCTGGCTACATTAGGGCCATTAGGGGGCGCTATCTAATCCAGTGCAAAACCAGTTAGAGCAGTTAAACCAGAACACACCCCAACCACACATCACAAGATAAAAGACAACCAAAGGTGGTAAAAATGCTTGTCTAAAATGAATCACTACCTAAAATGACACACTGACACATAAAAGGCAGAGAAGCATAAACGCCAAGACCAAATACATTAACATTGTCATGTACATTACCATGCCAATCCCTCCGAGAGTTGTCATGACAGAACTTAATATTTCAAGATAAAGTAAAGTTTACTTGATTCTCCATACATAATTTTTATACAAATCAAATATGATCCATCAGACATTTGAGGAACATTTATTTGTTCATCTCTCTGTCGTCATTGTATTGCAGTGCATTATATGTTTTGCCACCACAATAAAAACTACTGAGCTTTGATCATAAAACTAAATTAAATATCATCTTTTTTAAGACATGCTATTGTGAGATATAGAGTGACAGCTGATATTCATATGTATTTTTGGCAAGTAGTCTGCCGTTATAAAGATCTCACAAAAGAATTTCATCTTTTTGACAATATAAATATCAGCAACTGCACCAAATCGCTTATTTTGCTCAGTTTGGGCATCTGAATAAAACTGATGCGTGTTTGTTCCTCTTTGAGTTTGAGCTCCATATTCTCACTATATTGTACTATATGAGCAATAAAAGCCTGATGTATCAAATATGATACCTTTTTTTTTAAAGATTTTGTCTAAACTGTTCCATTCAAAGGATATCAAAAAAAAAAGAAAACATTTTGAACAGGGGTTTTTTTTTCAGAAAAGATTTGCAGCTCTCTCTCCCTCTCTCTCTCAGTGTGTGTGTGTGTGTGTGTGTCTGCATGTGCATTAAACATTATTTGCACATTTAAAGAGGGGCTGCTTGTTTCAGTTCACTCCTTTCAGGAAGTCCCACTTACCTTGTTGCCAAGCAACATGATGACCACATCCTTCTGTGCATACTCATAGATTTCAGTCAGCCAGGCCTGCATAGTGATAGACATGTAAAAAAAAAAAAAAAACACTTTGAAGGACAAGAAACGCATCTGCAGTAATAATGAATGTCATTTCACAACCCACGCTAACAACAGCAAGAAACGAGAACATCAGATAAGCGTGCATCTGAAAATGTCTTGAAATGTTTGTTTGTCTTACTCTGATGTTGTCGAAGGAGGACTTTCTCGTGATGTCATACAGCAGCAGTAGAGCTGTAATAGAAAGCACAGCATGTTCAAGTCACACCGTACTGCATGATTCAGAGCTGAGCTTTATAGTAATTAAACACTGACTCAAAAGTCTGTGTTCTTCAGGACTTGTGACTGTACAAATTTCACCGCAGTGTTTAAAGTTCACAGCAGTGATCTCCCACATAGACTGAAACTAAACTAAATATTCTACTGAGGAACTGTTTTTGTTAGGCAAAGATGATATATGTGACCCTGGAGCACAAAAGCAGTCTTAAGTCGCTGGGGTATATTTGTAGCAATAGCCAACAATACACTGTATGGGTCAAAATTATTGATTTTTCTTTTATGCCAAAAATCATTAGGATATTAAGTAAAGATCATGTTCCATGAAGATATTTTGTAAATGTCCTACTGTAATTATATTAAAACTTCATTTTTGATTAGTAATATGCATTGCTAAGAACTTCATTTGGACAACTTTAAAGATGATTTTCTCAATATTTAGATTTTTTTTGCACCCTCAGATTCCAGATTTTCAAATAGTTGTATCTCAAATATTGTCTGATCCTAACAAACCATACATCAATGGAAAGCTTATTTATTCAGCTTTCAGATGATGTATAAATATCCATTTAAAAAAATGGACCCTTATGACTGGTTTTGTGGTGCAGGGTCACATATATATATATATATGTGTGTGTGACGCCGTCTGGATTTAAATAAGTAAATGCGTAAGATTTAATGATTGGATCATTATTGCATTGATTAATATGTTTCTAGCATGTTGTATGTTTGGCAACAATTCTTTTTTTTTGTGTGTGTCACACCCAAGAACACCTGTGACCCACAGTAAAATCACAGTAATGCACGACCCTACACTCTAAAAAATGCTGGGTTAAATACAACCCAGTGCTGGGTAAAATAGGGACAAACCCAGCAATTGGGTTGTGTTGACCCAGCAGTTGGGTTACTACCCAGAAGGTTGGGTTAAACATTTAACCCAACCGCCGGGTCAAAACAGCCCAATTGCTGGGTTTGTCCCTATTTTACCCAGCACTGGGTTGTATTTAACCCAGCATTTTTTAGAGTGTACATAACTCACTGCTTTAAAAAGATATGGCACCAGTAATGAAGTCTGTTAGAAGACAAGTGCAAGTGTCTCAGTGAAGATGGCATATTTACCCTGAGCATCTCTGTAGTATGCGTGAGTAACACTGCGAAACCTCTCCTGACCGGCCGTGTCCCAAATCTGCAGGAGAGGAGCGTTAACAGGTGAAGCTTCATTTATGTGTCAAGTAGGGGTGAATTCAGTTAAATTGGGACACTAGACTGGGGGATGTAATAAATCTGATATTTGAACAGCTAGGAGGCCAACCAAATTGAATTTTGTGAAGAAAATGTGAGTGGCGCTTGCCTGTGCAAAACACATCACCACATGCAGTCTGGCTGGTTGCTAGGGCATTTCTAGGTGGTTGCTAGGGTGTTATTGGTACTTGCTAAATGATTCCTTACTGATCCAAGTCAAGAGTTCACTCCCTGGTCTTTATGACATTCTGGTCTGTAGATACAGCTCGGCTCCCTTCAGTGTTGGGGAAAGTTAAAGCAATGCATTACAATATTGCGTTACTCCATATAAAAGTAACTAATTGCCTGCCTTAGTTACTTTTTATGGAAAATAATGCATTGTTATTTTGCATTACTTTTTGTCACCTGAGCTGGGCTTGCTCGTTCATTTTACGGGTCACGACGAGGCGTTCCCCATAGCGACCCCTAGAGGACGCAGTGTCTCGTTCCCTACTCAGGGAACCATGGTTACATAAGTAACCTGAGACGTTTTCCCATTTATTACCAAAAAAAAAAAGTAACTCAGATATTTGCCTGTAAAATTAAAAGTAATGCATTACTTTACTAGTTACTTGAAAAAAGTAATCTGATTACATAACTTGTGTTACTTGTAATGTGTTACCCCCAACACTGGATCCCTTCTTCACTCTAAAGCTATGGGATTTTTGTAAGCCGTTTTATCATCCAGCAGGTGAAAATCTGATCATAACAGCAACCATCTGCTCAAGTCGCATTATTCATGCCCATATGCCAAACAGTACAGGACAGGAGTTCAATACAGTACTCAAATCAGTGTAATTAATAGTGATGCTTGTCTTGTTTGCTTACCTGGATTTTGACTTTCATGTTATCCACAGTCACCACCTTATTCTTATTACGCACCAGGAAGAAGAAGAAACACCCATTAAAACACAGTACTCAGAAATGTTCTGAAAGGTAAAATAATGAACAGTAAATAGTTTGTTATTCAAGGAAATCACGCATAATCAAACAGGAAAACAATTTAGCTACTACTAAAGTGAGATCTCTAACCGTGCTATTTTGCTTTTGTGTGGCCAGGCTCTCCACGCAGACTTAATTATATAGTGTAGATGAAATAACAGACCAGCTCCCTGCTTAATTTCCTGTTGACGTCAGCCGTTACTTCCTTTGTGAGCTAAATGTTTTAAAATCGTACCTTCTGCACTGAGAGGACCAGACTTATCAGATGTTTTCGTGCACCAAATGGCAGTGCAATCAGAGACGTCAGTCACACAAATGGAAGTGAGATTTTCGGCGATGAGTAATTATCATCCACAGACATTCACATACAGGCACCCAATAATTCATTCCTGAATATCTACACAGTGACTATAGTTAATGCTGACTGATCAAAAAACATAGGCGTTTAAAGCTGAAGCATGTGATTTTTTTTTTCACTATACTTTCTCTTTTCTCAGCTTAATGTGGGGAGAAAACTCAAAGTAGTTTGATTTGTAGGTGTCACCACTTGCACAGAAACCGCACGCTTCACCTTTTAAATTCACTAATAGTAGAATACTAAAATAAAACCGTATAAAATAACACTTACATCAAACCTGGCATAATGTGTCTTCAATAGCTGAATATATAAGCAAATTAAAATGAGGTTTGAGATTTAAAAAGAGGAGGAGATTCTGCTAACACATATTCTGCTAAATTTCTTCTTTTGTGATTCACAAAAAAAAAACAAAATCAGGTTTGGAGCAACAGGAGAGTAAATGATGACAAAACTGCTTTTGTGGATGACTATAGAGCAATAGTAATCACAAATGCACGCTTTGGCTGCTTACTCCTTCCAGGAAGTTCTGCATAAAAAAATGAAATCAGAGCAGAGTACAAAGCAATTCGAGGAGAACATTAACCGGTTCAATAAGAACGCAGGTATGTCTCCATTGTTTCTTCAATCAGCATTGTATATCTGACTTGAATGAACAGCAGAGGTCAGATGTCTTGTTGTTTCTCCAAGGGCAAGCTAACAAAAGCTGCAGATTAAGATAAAATTAAATCCACTGACGCGCACACACACAAAAAAACTGTGATGTTTAGGGTTGGGAATCGAGAATTGGTTCTTTTTCAAAACGGTTTAAATTTTTGTTTTGTTTTGTTTATTAAAAATACAGGAACATTCCTTTAATAGTTCTTGAGCATGTTCACTTCACTTCCACTCGTCCCACTGAAAACGCATATATCTATATTTTTCAAAATTTTCAATAAATTCAATAAATAAATGAAGAGTTCATTTGCAAAAACCGATAAATGCCACTTTCAAAAAAAATTATGTTTTTGAAAGTGCGTAAGCACCAGAGCGCGTACACACCTCACGCACCGGATGCCGTGCGCGCGCCCAAAGACAAGTGGACATAGTGGTGTATTAGAGGCAAAATATGATATAAATACTGTTCGGTTTCTGGCACAAACCGATCGTTTCCTGTCTTAGGACATCAATGTGTCGTCACGAGCCGCAGGGTTTAATTTGGATTTGTCTGTGCATGTCTTTTTTACTCTCATAGATTTTGTTACCATTGCCATGCATTATACGACTGATAGACTGCAACGGTTAAAGTTAAAAATCATCATATGTGTTCTACTGAAGAAACAAAGTCACCTACATCTTGGATGCCCTGGGTGTAAGCAGATAAACATCAAGTTTTCATTTTTGGATGAACTATCCCTTTAATAGAAACCTTTGACGATTTTCAGACTGTTCAGTGCAGTGCCTATCATAGTCGTGAGCGAAATTGGCTTACAGACTTTTAACATTATTGCGATATTCCCTAATTTGATATCGTCAACAAAGATTTTGATTATAAAGCTAATAATGCTCTCAGCCCTACTTGTGAGTTATTGATTTATGTTTGAAACTTAAACTTACAGTTCAAAACTAAATATTCTCAAAACTAAATCTCAACCTCATTTTGTTCCAAACCTGTATGACTCGCTTTCTTCCTCAAAACACACAAAGAGAAGTCGCAAACCAAAAACTAAATAATAATCTACATTTTGGCCTGTTCCTCACACAAATCTATCATATGACTGTGTGAGAAAAAGAACATAGTGAGTCACATGAATATTTGTGCTTCTTTTATGGTGAATCTTTGAAGCATGATAGTCCCTTTGGGCACCATTCACTTCCACTGGTTTGGAACTACATGAAGATGAGATGACAATTTTTGGTCTATCCCTTTACATTAGTGTCAGTCGTGAACAAATTCCTCGAAAGTACTAAAATAATCAATAATGTAAAAAGACCAGGATCAAAGCAGGAATCAATAAATTCCTTACAATTTCCATTGCTACAGTGGCGATGATATATGACTATAGGATATCCATCTATCAGTTGCTCTAGGAATCTGCTTGATCTCTTTGAGTCTCAACCTATTATTTGAGAAATGGAAACCCGACCTGGTGTCAGTTACAAGGCCCTTTTGACCCGGAAAGTATATCGATTTATGAAAAACATACATCTTTCAGGGCCTCTGCCTATCCAGCATAAATCAAGCATAGCCATCAATTTGTTGTAATGGCTTTCCATTTCTCTGGCATCAGACTTGCTCTGCTCTGGCTCCCACACATCCTCATGCTGAGCAAGTGCTACAAGGAAGAGCCCAAAATAGACACAGGCTATAGTGCTGCCGCTGTGCCATTCAAAAAATACCAGCACAGAAACGCTTCACTGTTTCTCTGAGCTGCAGCTGATAAGATGCTTCATTTCAGACGTTGTTGGCAGGCGATCAAAGAATGAGGGTTTAAAGGGGTTTTTGAACTTCCTAAAGACACCTTCTGTCTCCAAGCATGGCACTTTCTGCTCGAATCTGACGTTCGAAACCAGTCCACATCACAAGCCAAGCTAACCTTCATTTCCTTGCAAAAACACATACTGTGAAACCAAATTGACTGTCTTGGCTTGAGGGCAAAAATCTATTTGTGGAGCATGACAAACTTTATTTTCCTCCAATAAAAAACAAGCCCTTAACGCCAACTGCCAACAGCCTCTTACATTAGCATGTTGGTGCATTAACCATCATGACGCCAAAAAACAAAAACATGACTCTGACATATTTTAAATTCACACTTTGAGAACATAAACCAAAAATATTGATGGCTCATCTTGCATTTAGGAGCATATACCCATTTTTGTCCAATCAAGTGCTCTCTACAGTGACAATGTTGGTAGTAATTGTAACTAGCAAATGATGGTTCCTGGCTGTGATGGAAACAAAGGCCGATGAGCTCTTTGATAGGTCTCAATAGGATATGCATCATTTCACTGGGTCTTTAAAGTCTTGGTGAAACTGTCTTTTCTTCCGTATTGCAACAAAATGTAACAGATTATTGTAAAACGAAAAGTAATGTGGGACTTGGTTCAATCCATCGGTTGTTGACTGGATTTTGAGATGTGGCCGTTGCACTAAAAACTGAATGCCAGCTTGCAGTCACAATTGTGGAGGGACGGGGTTTAAGTGGACTAAATTACTGGAAGTCCAGCATACGTCAGATTGCAAGGTCAGATTAAAAAAATAAATATGCATGGATGAATCATTCACAATAACATTTGGAAAATAGAGTGAATTTTCATCTCGCGCCACCTTTAAAGGGATAGTTCACCCAAACATGAAAATTCTGTCATTAATTACTCACCTTCATGTTGTTCCAAACCCGTAAGACCTCCGTTCATCTTTGGAACACAAATTAAGATGTTTTCGATGGAACCTGAGAGCTCTCTGACCCTCCCATAGACCGCAAGGTAACTACCACGATCAACGTCCAGAAACGTAGCAAGGACATCGGTAAAATAAGCCATGTGACATCAGGGGTTCAACCGTAATTTTACAAAGCTACGAGAATACTTTGAGTGCAAAAGGAAAAAAATAACGACTTTATTCAACAATTGAATAAATACGCCTCACCCTAGCGCCATTTTGGAGAGTATCCACTGAACGTAAATTGCGTATGCTGTTCCGTGTCAGCTGCGTCACACGGATACGCTGTTTACGTCGTTTTACGCTTTGATTTGAATGAAAACAACATATCCATGTGACGCAGCTGACACAGAACAGTATACACAATTTACGACCAGCGGATATTCTCTTTTTTATTTTGCACTCAAAAAGTATTCTCGTAGCTTTGTAAAATTACGGTTGAACCCCTGATGTCACATGGATTATTTTACCGATCTCCTTGCTACGTTTCTGGACCTTGATCGTGTAAGGACCCTTGCTGTCTATGGGAGGGTCAGAGAGCTCTCAGATTCCATCAAAAATATCTTAATTTGTGTTCCGAAGATGAACGAAGGTCTTACGTGTTTGGAACAACATGAGGGTGAGTAATTAATGACAATTTTCATTTTTGGGTGAACTAACCCTTTAAACACACCCCATGTAAGTTGACCAAAATTCTCTCTTTTCCTCCCCAACCAAGTGCTGGCAGTTGCAGCTCAAGACCCAGTGTCATGGGGCGACAAGTTAACCATTTAGCCAGACTGAAACGAGAATGAGCATCAGATTGGCCAGTTATATCCGAACACTCCAAGACATCTGGAGCGGCACAATGACTTCACAGATTTGTCCGAGAGGCTGCTGGACTGCACCAGCACCACTTCAGAAGACCAGAGATTTGCACAGTTAAATGCCAATGGAGAGTGAATACAGTCACTCACTCACACACACTCACACACTCACACACTCACACACTCACACAC